CTCTGGCTTCCCGGCGCACAGGACGGGGCTGGAGGGGATCAATCCTCTGTGGGGTTAGTAATAAATTCTCTCTGCTTTTATGTTTAATGAGAATCCTTAAATATGCAATAACTCTGCTTTACTGTGCTAAAGAGATGAGTGAACTTATAGTAATACTATAAAATACATGGAAGCTGTAAGCATAGATATTACCCAAATGTAGCATAAACCAAACTACTGAGTCCTGCATCAATGTTTGGATCTGGCATTGTGTCTGCATTCTATTTATTAAAAAAATAAAATCAAAGGATAAATGCCTCACTGATAGAAATGTCCAGAGCTGCTGATTCCTGACGGATCTAAGTAGCATTTGCCCACTCCTGCCTCTGTGAGAGATCTTCCCTCAAGCTAGGAGAGTAGGCTATTTATAGTAGGCTCATTGTTGGTGCGGTTACGGGACAGTGTGTCCTACTTACAGGAGCTGATAGTACATTAAAGAAAGTGTTGATGTCACAGCTTGTGTAAGGAATCATCCTTGGGGTGTGGCATTCACAGGGATGGATGCCGCCCCAGACCTTAAAGTGCTGCAGAAAAGAAACCATGGCTGAACCTGCTTTTGTGCGCTGCAGAGAGACCTCCGATGCCTTGATTGGATGACTCAAACTTAACGTGAAGGCAATCCAGAATCGTTTAAAGCAAAGCTCTGAGAGAATGTGAAGGGCAGACAGAGGGAAGCATATTTCACTTGATGATCAAAATAATTCCCAGAGCTGTATAAAATCACCCCCCTTCACATCCAGGGGAGAGGAAACAGATGCAGATGAAGGTCAAAGGAGATTTGTCTGTGTGGTAATAATAAAGATCATTATCATCAGGGTAGAAGTCTTCACAGTCACAAGTCTTAACCACAAGGTTAAGGCGTAATGGCTTTTATATGAGGATAAAAGTATAATAAAATTCTAAGAGGGAGCACATTACTCTGACTCCTAAATCCCTTTGCTACAGTATGTAGCTTTGATTAAAATAAAGAAGATATTTCTGTACTTATTTTACTTGGATTCTAATTTGGTCTCTTAATTTTAAGCTTTTTATCTTCTATTTTTTTCTTTATTTGGTCTTTAAAGCACCTCTTTTTACTGATAGCTGGAGTCAAACCATAGTAATAAAGCTCAAACCTTTGCAGTTAATTTTTACTATCTGCATACACAGTGGGGCCAAAAAGTATTTAGTCATCCACTGATTGTTTAAAGTCTCCTCCTTCCATCAGTGAGAGCATTGAGGATTGAACTAGGCTGGGTTTCCAGCTGGAAAAGTATCTAAACACAGTGCTCAGACAACATAGGACAGGCTCTGTTAAAAGAATATTTCAAGGTCTTAAAGTGGCCCAGTCTACACACTGAAGGGAGTTGAACGTCTGTGTTACCTGGCACCAGTCTCCAAACTCCTCTGCTCTAGAGATCTGATGGAGAAATTGACCAAAATACACGCTGCAGTGTGAGCAAACCCGGTGAAGACTGACTGGAAATGTTTGCCTTCTAACACCAACAAAGGTTAGTAGCGCAGTCTGAACATCGGTAACAACTAGCATTTATTTTAGCAATAAAAAACAATTAAACTTTGCTCTTTCCCCAACTTCAATCAGAATAGCATCTGCATAAGAGCCACTATTTCAGATATCTGAAGATCAGGATGTTTTTTTTTTTTTTTTTTTAAATAGCAAACATAAAATCGGGAGCATTTGATTCACTCTTTTAGTACAGAAGGGAACTTCATTTAATATTTTACATTCATTATTTTTTTTATTGTCCAGACTATGCAAGGCTTGGGGACAGGGTAACACTTTACAGTAAGATACACAAAATGTAATTTACTTCTAACAAAAACCCAAAGAACTAATAAGTGTCAGGATTTGGTTGTGGGTTGAGGACCCAAATGCAGAGGTGAGTTTTGTAGATTTAATGAAAGCTAAACAGACGACTGAGGCAGGAATCCAAAAAAATCAAAAAATCCAACAAGAAAAAGGTAAAACAAACCAGAAACCATGGAGACTTCAGGGGGAAACAATCATGACGAGTTAAGACACAGTAAGACGGTGTTGAACGAAGTTAGACGAGGAACCAGCACTGAGGAACTGCACAAGGAGAGGATTTATGGGAGACTGAACAAAAAGAGGACTAACGAGCAGATTGGGAGCAGGTGTGAACAGAGCAGACTGGGAAGGAGCTAGGGAAAAAGGAGAACAGAAGAGGGCAACAGAAGGCAACATATAAAAACCTGAGAACTGAAATATAACCAGAAAACACAACGAAATAAGAATTAAACCAATAAAACTAGAAAACATGGAGCAAAGTTAAACTGAATACTCAAAAGAAAATATAACAGAACCAAGACTGTGACAATAAGTAACTAATGGGCGGTTAGCCATTACGCAATGGGGAACACCCAGTCCAGTCTGATTATGGGACAACAGCTTCTGGTAAACACAGAGTACAAATACCCTGGAGTCTTAAATTATCAACCTCTTCCCTATAAGGCTTATATTGACAATTGTGTTAAAAACTCAAACATACACTGGGCTGCTTCTTTCACAATAAAACCTGTTTTTCATTTAAGGCAAAAAAGCAGGATGTCACAGAAACATTTTTTATTGCTTTACATTATAGAGACTTGCTGTACACAAATCCTTCAGCTCCATGTCTATATAACATTTACTCTGTTTATCATGCTTCTCTGAATTTCATAAGATCATGAGATGTATTCTAGAGTGGGAGAATTTTCCTTTTCCACCGGACTGGTACTTTACATATAAGGCCATGCGTGGTATTTTTCTCTCATACATCTGTTCTTTGATTACCATGAAAAGCGTTGCTTCCTATTCTTTGCATTCTAATAATTTGTTGCTCTCTGTTCCATTTGCATGGACTAAATTGGGTTAAAAAAGAGCTTTTGTTTACTCTGTGCCTCCAACATGGGGCGCATTGCAAAAAGACTGGAAACTCAACTGTCTTCATTGAGCATTTAAGTCCAGGTTGAGAACATTTTAAACGACATCATCAAAATGTGGTTGTTTTTCATAATCTACCTGTTTACCTGTGCTTTTATTTTTGAAACTTCTGATGCCTCTTGGCCAGGACAACCTTATAAAAGAGCATTTTTTTTATTTCAAAGGGTCTTTCCAGGCTAAATAAAAAAAAATTAAATAAAATGTGGAGTAGCCCCATGATAAGGCTAGGCTGAGTGTTTCCCAGTAAGAACTTGTTAACCGTTCCTCATGTGTTCCCTTGGCACTCTCTGGAGGTTAATCACATTTTCTGTAAAGTGTTAACACCTGACCACTATAGGACGAAAGCCTTTCAGCGGAACCTGCTCTGCTTCACAGCTATGTTCTGTGTTCATTTCATTTTGCTCTGGTATATTTAAAACTTTACCAGATATGCTGCATGTTGAGTTGATGCTGCAGTCCCTGATGATTGTGCTTGGAAAAAATTAACAAATTGTCAAAATCAAAGTTTAGCTTGTGCCTTTATAACAGCAAAAATATTTTTTTTATGTTTTCAGAAAAAACATTAGTCCCATTGACTAAAATATGACCGGAGGAACTCATAAGATTCCATTTGTGTTTTTAACTCACTAGATAATAAATTGATATTGTCCCAGAAGGTCTACAAACCTCTTTCAAAGGATGTTGATGATTTAATCTTATTTTTTTGGGAATGTTTTTTTGTTTGTTTTGTTGGTCCAAAAACATGACTGTTAGGTTAATTGGCTTCTCTAAATTCTCCTTAGCTGTGAGTCTGTGCGTGAATGGTTGTTTGTCCTGTTTGTCTCTTTGTTGCCCTGCGATGGACCTTAATGGCCAATCATGTACGTCTTCCAGGAAACTTTATTGGGTTCATAGTCAATTGGTGACATCATAATGCACATCTTGGTGTCCTTTGCATAGTTGGTCATTTCTGTTCATGTAGATATAAAAAAAAAAAGGGGCCATAAGGTACACCCTTTGGTGATGCCACATGTGTTTTCTGTGGTCTCTGATCTTAAGTTGCCTACTGACACAAAGAAATTCCTGCACTTCAAGTACGATTCCAACCAGTAAAGTGCTGGACCAGAAAGGCCAACCAAGTTTTCCCGACGCTTTACAAAACAATAATATTGTTGAATGCTGTGCTAAGATCCAATACAAAAGGCTTACAGAAACAAGAGCAGTGGAAAGTGAACCTTCAGCACAAAGAATACAACACTGATGCCTCACTTCTCACATTTGGCCGCTAAATGCTGTACAATAAAATGTTTCCCCGGTAAAACATGAAAAATTAAAGAGGCATTGTGCATTACAGTCTTTCAAGAAATCTAAATAAATTAAAGGTGTGAACTTACATTTTCAGTTACCTACATTAAATGGATCCAAGATAGTCAGAAAACTCTAACTTGATCCTTGTTTAATAGGCCACATTAAAAAGACGTTAAAAATGTCTCAACAGTAAAACAACAGGGAGCAGACAAGTGTTGGAAAACAGGAACTGATGATCACCAAGGAAACACGGATGAGCAGGCTCAGTAATTCCTCCATGTGAATTAAACCCAGGTGACCTTAAACTACACACACAAACACACCCACACACACAAATAAAGAGAACTGGGAATAACGAGCTCTAATTGAAAGTGCCCAGCTCGCCTGTTATAACACCCTTTTCAAATGAGAATTTTGAGACGCGAGCCAATCATGATGCACTCGAGGAGCTTAGGGTAATGACAGAAAAACGAGGGGGAATCGACATAAAATGCCAGAAAATCTGCCCTATTTTACAGAGTTTGTACTAGGACATGAAGAACAGTAAGAGCAGAAAACATGTCTGCTCTTTCAGAAGAGATTAAATACGCTGAATAATTAGGATAAAGAAAAAAAACATGCATAGGATGTTAAAGATTTATTTTCTGATACTCAAGGACAGGTTTGCTTCCAGTGTGCTACTTTTCTTTAGGAAAACTAGGACGAGGCAGCAGTGTGTGTTGCTCAGTACCTGCTGGAGTATCAAGTTGATCCTATCCACTTCGCAGTCGATGAGAAAGCGTTTCTCCTGTCGGCGGTCCATCTCCTCGATGATGCGTCTGTACTCTGTGGGGTCCACAATGTTCCCAACCGAGCGAGCTGTCACCTGCCAGTTATTGGCTACAGCAGACTCCATTATGGCCTGGAGGATTGCAAAACCTTGGGGGAGATAAAGGAGGAAGAGCTCCGTCACTGAACAGAGTTTTTTTTTTTTTTTTTTTTTTTATCACAAGGTTGCATAGAACTTGATGAAAGCCTAGATTATAAGCAAAATAAGACACAGATCTGTGGTTTCACATTTCCATAATATATTAAATACTGTCAGTAGGTTTGTAAGGAAACTGAGTCTTGCTGATGTGCTCCTGAAATTTTCTCAGATTTAGATGTTGTATTAGCCATTTGTTACAGACTGCAGCCTTTGCAGACATGCAACACATTTCAAAAAAGGTCATTTAAAAAAAAAACAAAAGTTGAATTTTGCTAAGCTTATATAAAGAAGTAAATTTTAAAGGACAGAGCCAAATTGGTCTATTATTGCGCTACTTAAGGTGGCTGCATGTCAGGTCTAACACCTAAAACACTGTAAAACAAGAAAAGAAATGCACAGAGTCAGAATTCTTTTTACTCGCAAGGAGAGTAGGAAGAGACCGTGCAGGTACATCTCCACCCCACTCTGCCGGTCTTCAGCTTTCTCCTCGCTATTTATTAAAGTCAGAGGGGGGGTCCCTAGTTATACAAGCTGAGGTTGCGCTAAAGGAATAGGAAACAAGAACTACAATTCAATTTGCAGCCCCAGTGAACAGGTCAATTTGCATTTAAATGTCTTGCGGTCAAATGGTCCCAGAACCTCCTGGTTTCCTTAAGCTTGAGCAATACTTCCTGAGAGTTGACCTATACTGCTTGTGCAACACCTCTCTGGAACAGTAATATGTCACACATTATACATCATACGAACAAGCATTAAGTATCTTAAACATAATTATTCCAGCACTGCACGTTGTAGTAGCTCTGCTAGCTTGACTTTAATTTTTTTTTTTACTGAACGTTAGTTCCTACATTTTTGGATCAGTTTCCTTTTTTTGACGATTTTCGCCTCTGTTGTTGAATGCTGTGAAACGTGAAGGATTTTCACTGATATTTTTGTCCTTTTTGGATACTTTTGATGCGTAACCACAGCAACCATAGCAAGTTGATTTTTTTTTCACACCTCTTACATCTGCTGAAATAATACTTCAACTACTTTGGTAAGTACAAGATGAGATCAAAAGGAGATAAGATCTCAATGTAATGACTTAGTGTGTGACTGATTACATAAACTTCTGTGTAGATAACAACGTCCAATTCCCAAATAATAAGCAATGGATCACAAGTGATCTGAAGCAACTGCTTAACAAGAAAAAACAAGCAATGATGAGGAGTAAACAGAAGCAACTCAAGGTAAAGATCAGAGAAAGCTTGGAGGCCTGAAACCAAGGTCCAGTAGAACAATATCAGAGATGTGTGGTCAGATTGTGAGAAGATCACAGGCTTCAGAAGGATGATCAAACAGATGGAAGTCTGGACAGAGCCAATGAACTGAATCCATTCTTCAACAGGTTTAGGAACAATCTCAGCATCTTTCTCTACTGCCAGCAGTCACATGGACATCCTGCCCTCCTCTGCCATTGACCCTCCTGCTTCTATTAGTTTGTTATCAGCCAAATCAGGAGATGGTTCTGCTGCCTCCGCCTTTCACATACTTTGGCTAGAAGTCAAGTAAAGAGGCATCTGGAGAGACTGAATCAAAATAGGTCATCAGGTCCAGACGGTGTCAGCCCCAGAGTCTTTAAGGCCTATGCAAAGCAGCTATGTCAGATTCTACAGCACCTTTTCAACCTTAGCCTGACTCAGTAGACACTTTCAGTGATGTGGTGGACCTCCTCAGCCAATCGTCCTCAATGCTGAACTGTTTTATTATTGCATAATTCCTTTTCTTCATCTTTATGTGCATAATAGCGTTGTTAAGCTGAGTTTCACTTACTTATTTCAGTGTTTTTAACTCAAGCATGCTTAACCCAAAATTGAATTATTTTTGTTGATGATTTCATGTAATTTGTGATGGAAATTGTGTGCAGTTAAGAGTTCGACCATGATTTGAGCTCTAATCACACTTTTATCGGTTGTCCTAACACAGCCAGTTGGATGTATGTTCACAAAAAAAAAAACACATGACATTTCGAAATGTATTTAAATAATTATCAAAAAACATACATGCATACAACTGCACAATTAGAGCTGACAGTCTAAGATATGGTAACTGATAATCCTCCTACCTATCCCCTTGCTGCACAGGTTCACAACTTCGCACCTGAAAATTTCATTCAAATTTTATTTTGAATGAAATCGTGGCCCCAAAAGTTGGCATTAAATCCAATCTTTAAAATAAAATCTGTATCAAAACGAATATTAAAAAACGAATCTTAAAAACTCAACTCTTAGAACTGAGCGTCCGTCCCGTTCGGTTAATCTCTACTGGATTGGTCATGTCTGACTTAGCCGCTTCCTGTCTGGTGGAGGAGTTAAACTGACAACTTCAAAGCCAGCAACTGACCTGGGCAGCAACAATATGGCTAGAAAACATAAACTGACAGCAAAGCAGTAAATTGGGCCGCAGCTTAGACGGCACAATTGATGGCAGTCAACAACTCTGTCATTCTGTGATGAATCAGTGATTGAAGTATAAGAAAGGGAGAAGCTGAGCTGACAGGAAGAGGCTGAGCTGTGACACAGAAAAGGTCTCATCCCAGTGATGGGAGGCTCTGAATAGTTCATTCATTAAAGGTTTCAGGATTTATGGGCAGCAGTGACACACTGTTAGTAGATCAGCTGAAAACAGACACAGCTAGGTTTTAGCTTCATTGAATCATCCAAAGTTGGTGTGATGCATATAAAGAAAGCGTCTGGGTGACATGTTTTAGGTCTCCTGGTAAAGGGAAGTTTGTATTTGAACATATTAAAAACATGAGACTATATTTCTATAAGTAAAAATAATAACTCTTATAATTTTTAATCAAAGTGATAAAAAGGTTGTGTAGCAGGAAACATTCAGATTAGCTTCTTACTAAATGGTTAAAAATATTAACATATGAAGGTTGCATACATGATATTAATTACAGACATGTAATTTTCTTTAGTGTGAAGTCATTGTTTGGCTAATAGATGTGAATGAGAGAAAATGGGCACAGAAACATGCAGGAATGTTTTCAATTATTCATCATCATCTAAATAAACACTTAAAATCAGTTTTTCTACCTTATTTATTAGTACTATCTATATCTGATTTTGATGTCCCTTCTGTGGTGCAGCACACCAAGTTTACATCTTTAAAGCGGGTAACACAGGTTAAAGGTTATCAAGCAAAAAAACTTTTCCATGTCTGTGATGAAGCTGTGATGAATTGCTGTGACTCCCAGCAAATCATAATAACTGTAAAAACAGTAAATACTTTTTAACAGTGGGAAATTATTCCCAACTTTCAAATGATATTGCATAACACTTTCATTAGATCACCAAAGTTTAAAAAGCTCCCATCATAATCAGAATCAGTTTGCAACATTACCAGAACATTGCGTGAACATCACCGCTATAAAATTATAACTTATGATAATGTCACAATATTCTGAGGTTAAAGAAGCAGTCTACTTTAACACAAACTGTTAGATGGAAAATCAGTCTCCACTCTGACTTCTGATGCTCACCTCAGGCTGCTGTTTGATGATCTTGCTCGATAACTATCAAAGCTTTGCTCTTAATAAACATATTTTCCTCTCAAAAAATTACAATTTTTAATATGATAAGTTTTCCTCTTACTGTATGTGGTTGACATGATGCAGTATAAATGTAAAACAATGAAACATGCCTATAGTCAAGCATGCCTTTGGGGGAGTGGCGGCCTAGTGGCCAGGGCATAGGGCTTGGAATCCTGAGGTTGTGAGTTCAAAACTCACTACCATTCTGCGTCTCTGAGCAAAGACCCTTAACCCCCGACTGCTTGCCGAGCGCTGCACCGTGGCAGCCTCCTGCTCACAAAAAGGCGATGGGTTAAATGCAGAGATTTTATTTCTCCATTGTGAGATCAATAAAATTCAGTTTATTTTATTTATTTATAAAGGCCTCATAGGAAATTTTAAGAACAACAGTGAACCAGTGGTATCATAAGGATCAAGAATCACTGGGATTAAACAATAATATAAAGCTATAGTGGTGGATTTCTGCTAATTTCTGAAAAGATGCACATGCATAACCCTGTACCCACTCCTGGGAGGGAACGCCTGTTAAATGCATGAGCCCATTTCTCCTTGTGCATGCTCTGTTTAAAAGTTTGTGTCTGCATCGCTCATACAAGCTTACTTTTCAAAAGAAGGTTTGCAATTTTTCCACTACGTCAGACTCAGCACCGGTAAATGAAGATGGGGACGAGCACATAGGACGGCCTTATGTAAACATATCACTAGAATGATTGACAACCAGAAGGACCACTTATTTAAATGATCCACTCGGGAAAAAAAACATCCTCCACTTTACGTTTAAGTTCTGACAAACTGCAAACCTATAAAGGCATGAATCCACATCTTCAGCTTGGTCTCAGATTAAATCATATTCCTTCCTTTACTCACTACTTTCTCTTGGTTTATGTCTTGATATTCCAATGAGAAACATTAGCGTTTGTAGTTTGAACATGACAGAATGTAAAAAAGGTCAAGGTGTCTGAACAGTTTATTGAAGCCACACCTCCCTACCACCATTCGCTTTCATGTACTTCCTGTCCTACAATTGAAACTCCTTTTTTCTGCCTTATCTGATCATGTAACTTCTTGATCTGGGCGTTTAGTTAGAAAGCTCGATCACCTGCTGCCCTATCTAACAGCCTTGCTGCTACCATGGTTACTCATCATAAAAGATTTGTAAAAAGTGGCAGAAGTACCAACGGAAATGACTCAGACATCACAGCTTTCAAATCAGAGCACAAAACCAGACATAAAAAAAAGCCTCCTGGCTGACCGGAGCTGCTGTCAGCGATGCAACCTCTTCCCAGAAAGGATGTTCTAGACACTGACTGAAAAATGAACAAAACAAACAAAGACTTTAAAAGCTTTCAAACAATTTCAATTAGGTTCATC